TGTCGGTACACGTCGTACGCGAAATACGTTTAAAACTCTTTGTGTAAAACACACGATAATGATCGATATTGTAATTATTGTTATTACGCGATGCAATGTGTGCTGTGCAGCGACGATATGTGTGTTTCCCTTACGTGGCAAGTCACGCGTGCCCGTACGTTCTGTGTAATACAATGCATATATACAGATATACACTATACATAAAGAAGAATAATGTATAATTTAAATCTCAATGGAAAACTCTCTTACGGATGTCACGTACAGGTTTAACCCTTTTTACCGTATCGTAAACGCGCGCGCGAGAGTCGTATATTATTTTATACCGCGGTCGGTAACCCACGCTGTATCCACGTTATACATTTAATACCGGTCCCCCCACCCCCGGATCGCGATTCGTGCGCTTTACGGATGTACTCGAATTATCGTCAATTCACCAGAGTGTAATAGTAATGATCAATGTGTTCGGCAATCACGACAAGTCATTGATCGGATCTTATGGGCGATATAGGCGATATCACGACGAATTCACAATGCCATATCATTTTATGGCTAAATCTCTCGAATCGTGTGCTGATAGAAAAACATGTTGGATATTTTTTTTCCCCAATTAATTTAATTTCTAATATTAGTATAATTCGTTACTATTTTGTATGATTTTGTTTTTAATATTATTTGTAAGGTATGTTTACAATAAATCTTTTGGCGACAAGTGTATTGAAGTGCCTAGCAATATTATAGAAAGTCGAATTAAAAATAGTCTTTAACATTCCAAATCGACAGATTTTTAACATTTTCATTATTAAACTCTAGGAGAAAATTATTTAAATTATTTGAAAATTGCATCGTTCTTATATTTTGTATTTTAGGATCTATAAAGAACTTTACAATTGTGGTTATTTTATTAATAAACTTATATTATTATTATTATGTATATATATTTTTTTTTGAATATTTACTTTTATTATATTTTGTTACATTTTTATTTTAGCTGGTGAGTAAGAAAATCGTTTAATTTTCTCGATAGTTTTTTGTAATAATTGATCAAAACTGAAAAAAAAAAAACGTAGAAAGAACGGGAAAATTTACAAAAATAATTCTATTATTATTTTCAATTTTGTTTTTTTTTTTATTGTTATTCAGTTAAAAATAACTGTAGAGACATAAAAATTTGACAGAAAATGTATATTTGCCTTTTATAGAAATGCTAACATTTTAAAAACATCTGAGCCATTTTTGAGATTTTTGTAGTAATTATAATTTTTATTTGGTAGGTAGGATAAAACTGTTGACTAAAAGAAATGCTTGACAATTTAACAGGAGGTTCATTATACGTAGTACTTAGTGATAAAACATAATAATTAATGTAACGCAGTCTTTTTTTTTTTTATAAGAGTTTTAATATGAAATTTTGACGAAAATCGTAAATATTACGGCTTTTCAAAACATGTATACCAGAACTTCGCTTCGAATCGTTTTTCATTAGCAAGGGCTTATTGTTGGTTACAGGTATAAATTGAACAACTTTATGTATCTTACCTTTCCAACTATCCGCCTCCAACAGTAGCGCACCCTTCCCCAGTATTAGCTCTTTTTTTCACGTTTATTGAAAATTTAGAATATTTTTAAATTTTCAGCATAGGTACCTTTATGATCTAAAATACACATAATATCGGTGAATTGATATGCCTAGCTATACATGAAGACTTGAAATCACTAACGGGCTAATTGCCAATTGATTTTTCTCTATTGATTTTGAGTTATTATCGTTATAACATTACCAGCGGCCCTGGCACATAGTTCTTACGTCATCTTGTTGGGCCTTGTATGCACTACTATTATGGTCGTGGCACATATCGTTCTTCATAGGTTGTTGGCGATAGCTCAGTTCTACAGGTCTAACTCGATTTTTTTTTTTAGCACTCAGCAAGTCTTCACGCATAAAACCAACTTTTATAAAACAACGTAGATTTCAAATTCAATAGTATATTTATTTATATCAATGAATTGGAGACGAGAAATGCGTTTAAGGAGGACAATCGAATTTTACCGTAGATACTTCAAACTCGTTATTGTTTTTGTTTTGTCCATTGTCCATTGTCTGACTTATTATAAGTATTATAGGTATCTATAGTGATGCAATTAGAAATTAGAAAATTGCTTTTAAATCTTCGTCGGGTCGTCTTGAATAATCAACTTTTCGCACTTAAACATCCAGTCTTTTCTTTTTTTATTTTACCATTGATAATCCATACGCATTACGCAATAATGAAATAATGGTATGTAAGTCGATACAAATGTTCCGAATAAAAAACACAATGGTGAATTCAAATTTGATTTCAGATTTTTCACCTAGTCTGGGTCCGGTATACCTATTTGGCGAAAACACAATAACAGTACTGTCGAAGATGGCCATTAATGGATGGTAAATAAATGTCTATAACAATTTATACGAATATTTATTTCAATACGTTTTTTTTATAATCCGCCCATTATATATTTTACATCTTTTTATAAAATGCATCACTTACCTATAAATGGACGGTTATTTAGGCAACAATAAATTATATAATATCGTACATCTGTGATATTTTATTTTATTTATTTTTTCTAATGGTTTTAAAGGTTTTGAAAAAATCATATAAATTATACCATCTCAAAAGTATAAGTATCCGAACTTCGTTCAAAATAGTTAATCATTGCTAACTGATATTAAGTAAATAACTTTATGTATCGTATCTTCCCAAATTCCAGCCTACAACAGTAGCACACTCCAGACGTTTTTTCCCCCTGTTACTTATGCTACGTGGTTTTGTATAACAAATCTGGATATATTTTCGATTAAAAGACTGACATTGCTCAAGAAATCTGTGCTTTGAACTGATAAGAATACTTATTGAAAGGATGTAAATCTCCAATTTTCGTCACGGTCAGATTATAATAATATAATATTGTTACCCGTCCACGACATCGACGGCGTTGTCAGGTCATTCACATAATACAATTATGATAATATATTATCGGCGATAGTGCTCAGCTGCTGCTGTTGTTTTTATTATTATAATATAACATTTTTTGTATCAATACATTGTTTGCGTATAATTTATTGTGTTTATACCACTGCCATTATTTTTTCTATTGATTTAATTATCCCGCCCACCCATTCACACATTCTACGAATCCGTTAGTTGCCTATAGCTGCTGGCCCAATTACTTGGTAATAGCTCGTAGCCCAATTCACGGTTTAAATAATCATAACAAGTAACAACTATTTTGTTACCGTAGAAATATTTTGTTTTGTATAATAATCAAATAAGTTTTTTTCTCGCAAAGTCAACATAAACTAGTGATATCGAAAAAAAAAATATATATAAAAATTCATGTTTGAGCTCTCTCCTCTTCTCTCAGGGGAAATAGTGAAAAATAAAACATAGCCAATCAATTTTTAAAGCCATGCCTCTCTTTTAATGTTTATTAAAGTAGGTTCAATAGCTGTGAAAATCACAAACAAACAAACTTTCGCATTTTCATAATATTAAGTATTAATACAAAGTCTATCACTAAAAATGCACTTGCCAGGCGTTTAATCATGTTTTAAAACAACCTTTCTTACATTTATAAAAAAAAGTATACAAAAGTAAAAAGAGACGTAGTTTAGGCGTTACCCATTTTTACTCATACACATTTGCACATTTGCTGGGAAAACTCTTAAGAAAATCGAAAAATGACTTCCTTTACAAGTATCATCTAAGTCAGATTTACTTTTAGAAAAAGTAGTTCTGGTAGAAAAGTTGTTTACGGGAAAAAAGAAGGCTGTAATATTTTTAACCAATATCAACATTTTGTACATTTTTCCATTTTTCCTCCGTTTTTTTGGTTTTTCACATCTATTGAAAAAACTCCTGGGAAAATCGAAAAATGACTCCATTAAAGTACCTCCCTAAATGCACAAAAATGATTGTTATTAAATAAAACTAGCAATTGTATACATGCATGTTAATTTAATATTATATTAATAATATTTTATTTTTATTTTTTAAAACGTTTACAATAAATCAATTGATAATAACTTTGCCTGGACGATAGACGTTTGAAAATTAAAATCAATGATGATACATCGGTACATGTAAGCTATACGTTACGCAAAACTGAAAACATCCAAATTGTACTGAATCAAACTACAATCCTATAAAAAATTCAGAAAAATACATCGGAATGCACTTAACACTTCTTTAAACTGAAATCAGTACATCCGTCTGAAAAAATAAATACAAAGGTAAAAATGCGAAAGCTCTTTTAATTAGTCAAACTTCACTCCGAGTTATAACTATAGAAAGCATCCGTATTCTATATGCAGCCATTATAAAACTTGTTTGGATCTATGATGTTTTTTACATGGATCTATGAATAGAACGCTGTAAAAAACATCGTATTTGGACCATCATTGCAGCCTACTGGTTTGATATAAACTAAGCGCATCTTGCGTAACTCGATATTATGCCTACAATAGCAGAGGAAATCCGAAGGTTTGTTCGCAAACATGAACGAGGCTAAATCACCATGTAAATCCAATGGTCGACCAATTATAAAACATTACCAAGGACATTAGACGTCTTGAGCGTCTGAAACCGTACGACTTAGTTTAAGAATTTAGATTGAGGCCAGGAACCACTTCATTGGAAGTGCGACTCCATCAACGTATAAAGTGTTGGATTTTAATTGACAATAAAATATAATACCTATGTAAAATATATTTATAAGGACTTTTGGGTCGTTTAAATAATAAAGCCTTAGGGTATTAAAAAAAAATAAAAAAATAAGCGTCTACACATAGATTAAAATAGCATAAAATATTATAAGAATATTACATACAACTGAAGAATTTTATGACCCGTATATAAGCATAAAAGTAGAGAATATGTAAATCGTAGCTGCAATAAAATATTTTAATAATTATTTAACAATTATTATTATATTGTATCAAAGCTTTTACCGGACCCATAAAAACCGAAACACTATTTAAGATTTGAAATATATATAATACCGTAACTTCTGGAAAATAATTTCGGAGGTGAAGGATCGTAAACGACAAATTTGTTGTGTTCTAATTTTATTTGACTGAAATAATTATTTTCCCAAAATATAATACAACACAACACATTTTCGGGTGAGGGTCGTCCAAACCACCCTCCCTCTTAGATACGGCCTTGAGCCATAATACATAGTATGATAAGCCGACAAAAAATATAAATATAATAATATGTTTGTAAATTTCATAAAAGTTAGCTAGCAATAGGTATCGTATAATATATCTGGGGTCGTGTTCCATGGATATCAGACCAATATTACAACTTTTATGCGGTGTGATAATTGAAAAATGATTTTTTGAAGTAATATTACATAACTAGCATTTATTTTGCGATATGATTCTTAAATTGTATAGTTTATTTAAAACTAAAAATTAAAACTTTCGATTTTATTAAATTTTATATTCTGAGTGGAGCGAGGAATGTATTGGTTTTACAATAATGCTTACTATTTTTTTCTCTGGACAACTTTTTAATCATAAATTTTGCTTCAATTTTCCAGCGTATAGCACTTTTGTAAAGACATACATCCATCGTGCGAACTATGTCCGTTTGTTTTTTTTTTTACAAAATCTACGAGCACTATTTTATAAATTTATTTTGAAACATGATTTTAGTGTAACAAATGTTTAACATTTTCTTAAAAATTTAAAGTTTATAACAATTACATTTTTTTCATTACCAATATTATAAATAACTAATAAATAATAACTATAATATAATTACGTAATAAATATTAACTATGCGACAATAAATCGCATTTTTAACTGTCAGTACAAGTGGGCCGTGTATCAAAAATTGTAAATTGTTCAAGAAAACACAGTGCGAGTTAATTAATTTAAAAAAATGTTTTAATGCAAGAAGGTCGTATTTCTGTATTCGGCCGCATTGTTGACGCCCATTCACGTTATCAAGAAATATCCATTTACATTTAGCGCAAGAAGACAGACCGCTTTGCGTTTTACTGCTTTATGTAGTTTGTTCTCAACTGACAATCGATCTATTTCAGTACAATAATAGCGTTTTCCATATCACTGCACTAGTAGTTTCGGGTCGCATTCGAACAGTTCATTGATAAACGCACAAGTGCAGGCCAGTGCGAAAACAGATGGATTACGTCATATTGGCAAGGTATGGTTATCATTTTGTTATTGTATTGTAGTGTTATCAAAATCGTTAGTTCGATAATAATTTTCATAGTATTGTATTGTATTTAATTCAGTGCGTTCAGACATTAGTAATTAATATTGTTATTTTTTTAAATTTTTTGTACATTTAAAATTATAATGTGGAATTTAAACTAATATATTCATACATGACAATTGTTGGATCCAAATGTTTTGATTATCCATAATATTATAATGCTACGAGAAGATCGGTAGCGGTACATGATGTATGATGATAAAATAATGCAGGTATTTTATATATATGAATGATTTTCTCAGTAAACGATAAATATTTCCATCTTTTGGAGGTCGAGCGACTATCGATGGATCGAGTGCAAAAAACTAGTAAAGTTCAGAGGAGTGCAGGTGTCATGAACATAAAAATGATTGACTCGTGCGTGCACCATTGTTCAATGTAGAACATACGAATGTGTACCAGTACATCCTGTGCAATCAAATGGATAACACTAGAAGTTTATTTCATTCATAGTTCTCAACACTTATATTCTAAAAATAAAAAACCAATTCAGAAACAACGAAACTTTAAAATTGTAAATGTCCGACCTATTTATTACAACCCATTACGCAAAAACACCCACTTATTGCAACCTATACCTTGTATTATTATATATACTTTGCTAATTAAAAAGTAGTAAGTAAATAGATATTATTTAATAGTGGAAATAAAAATTACAATTTAAATATTGTCGTAAACTTAAGAGCATTCTGGAAAAATTAACGACTCATCAAAATTATAGTAAAGATTTGCAACACTAAAGTTTTGTTTTAAAATATATCAATAAAATGGTTATTTAATATTTTGGATTTTGTTAATAAAGTTACATTTATTATTAGTTTTAAAAAATATACAAAATATAAGAAACACAGCAAAAATATTTTATAGTTATTATAACGACAACAAAAAAAATTAAAAGTTTTAAACATCACCAAAGTTATTGCATTTGTCAGATCACCGTGTGACACTGTATATATATAAATTGAACATTTTTTTTTCAATTTTTCAATTGTTTTAACTATTTTCTCTCTCAGGTAACGATTATGTGAAAAAAAAAAAAATAAATATACGAAATATTAATGAAGTAACCAGAAAACGTCGGCATGCAACAAAATGTATAATACTATTAAATATAAATACTTTAAAAGATTATAATTTGTTTATATAAAAGAAAATAATGTTTTGTTACATTATTCAAAAACATTTTATCTTGAATGTATTAACGGTAAATTAAGATACAAATATTAAAAAATAGATACATTTTTTCTACAGAACATTCTATTATAAAGTTTTTTTTTTCTTCAAAAAATCAATAGATAGAACTTTTTTTTCAGTAGACGATTTGTTTACAAAAATAAAATTACACTTATTGTGGTAGGTAACCAGAAAACGTCGATATAAATCGAAAATTATAATATTATCTTATTAAACACTAATGCTTTTAAGAAATAACGGTCGTAATATGTACATTATAATATTAAGGTATCAATTAATCATAAATTAAAATCATTGTTCGTGATTGCTTAACAAATTGATAAGTAATATAACAAAATGAAAAATTTAAAATTATACAGAAGCAGATAATATTTTTTCATTAAAAAAAAAAAATCACGGTGGAAACAGTAAAAAAAAAAAGTGTAGTTTGTAACAGAATTTTCATAAAAAATATGAATAAAATTATACGGAAATAAATGGGACCGGATTGAAAAATGACCGTAATAAAATACATTCATTTGTATATGTGTGTGTGTTACGGGATTGAAGGGATTCCTAAGTCGTAAAAGTATACGGCGGGACAGAATAGAGAATCCTTTGATCGGTATAAGTATAGCGAATATAAAATACGATTTCTTTTTTTGCACCTTCTTACTACATACGCCCATCGTTAATAATATATTCTAATTTAGATTTTTTAGTTTCCGAGCGTAGCGAGGTGAGCTATTGGTTTTACTAAGATATTTATTATTTTTTCTCCTTCTAGTCTGTGGATATGTTTTTTCCTAGTAAATATGCTCCGATTTTTACGTACATTAACTTTTCTGAAAGCTGCAGTTTTCTAAATGGTACTTTATAAAGGCATTTTTTTGATTTTTGACACCGTTTTTTAAATAAAAGCACTTAAGTGGAAAAAAACATAGGAAAACATACAATTTCAAGATTTCATTATTTTATAAAAATACGGGAGAAGTTTTCTACCAGAAAAAATGATTTAATCGAAAAATCTCAAGACACCTTTTTTATTTTTGGAGTTGTTTTGCTATAATTCGATTATAAATACACGTAGAGACTTAAAACTTGGTAATAATACTTATATTGGACTTACCTAGATGTGGTAACATTTCCAAAACCATCGGACGCCTTTTTTTTTTTAAGCGTTTTGAAATCTAATTTATACAAAATTCGCAAAAAAAAATTGGGGCACTTTAAATTATGTATTAGTGAACTGCACTCGGAATTGTCTCTCTTCAAGCAATGGTTTATCGTTGCTTACAGATATAAATAAAATGTATCCTACCTTCCCAAATTCTCACTTACAATAGTGGCCGCTCCCATCCCCAGTATCAGCAGTATCAGCTCTTTTTCTTATTATTTTTTTTTTATATAAAATCCTGAAAAGTTTATATGGGGTACAATAATTGATTTTTCTCCTGCAATAAATAATTCTCAGACGTATGTATTTGTCGTTATTACATGTCAAATAGATTAATATTATTTCGATAAATTATATAATACAGATTAAACGTACATTGTTCTTAAATTTTATATTTTTATATCGTCGGTTTGATGCGGTTTTTTAATAGAAGACAATTGTTTTAAAAATTATTATGTGATAATTGAATTATGAACAAATAGACGATCATATAGTGTTTCGGTTATTTTTTACCACAATAATCTTTGTGTATACAAAAACTTGAAGAAATAAAACGCAATTTTTATTTTTATTGTGCAGGTTTACTTGCAATAAAAAATAAATTATTCTTAAAAATCTGTAAATATTTTTGGATTTAAGTATAACTACTCAGAATCGGTATAACGATGTGGTAAAAAATTTTAACGCACGCGTTGGTTATTAAATCATACAATTCACACTATACTGATTGTAAAGAAGTTTATGAATATGACTATCATAATTCATTCTAGTCGAATTGTGTTCGTAAAGTGTAATTTAGATTTCCGTTGAAAAAATAATTGTATTTTCACTTCTATCAGTCGACCATATTATAATATACAAATGGGTTACATTATAATCGTAAATGTCTCAATATCTTGTTGGCACCGAATGGAAAATAATAATGTTCACATATTTTTTCCCGAGGACAAAAATCATTATTATAATATTACCAGAGACGTTCGAAAATGCAATAAAAGATTATTACACGTTTTCACTATCAAACCGTCATCCTTGGCATGCTCAGATCATAAAATTGTAAATTTCGATTTAATTATTAATTATTTTTATTATTATTTTCAATACCGGTGTCATAAGTACCGTCCGAGATGCCCTTAGCAAATGTTATATACTACAACTCAATATCGCATTAATGTGTGGACTGTATCCCCCAACCAAAAAAAAAAAAAAAATAGCCAAGCTCCTAAATTAAGTCCTTACAAAATAAAGTCAAAGTATACATTCATAATTAACAGTGTAAATAGTGCAACACTTGAAAATCGTAGTAAAATTTTTGGTAGAAAATTGTTCACAGAAAAAGAAACAAACACCATTGTAAAAGAAATACATTCCTTGCTCCGCTCAGAATCTAAAATGATTTATATTTAGAACTGTAAAAACACCCCGCAGATTTATAAAAAAATATACCTAGGTATTATGGGTGACTATTAAACCTACAGGACTGTATTTAATACATATTGTGAATTTAGATTTCGTTATTTAGTGTTATTATACTCTATTCCAAAATAAGCGTTAGTTTTTACGGCCACGTTTACTGTCGTTAACAGCTAGTGCTCACTGTTGATTATCGTTCATTATGGGCAGTGAGCATTAACGGCCATGTATGAATACGAACGTGATTTTTTTTTAAATTTGGGCATTATTAATTGGAATAATAGAGT